TGCGTCAGTTTTTGAACGTCTGGGACATGAAGGGATAGGAGAAGCTTAAAAAAAGAGGCAACTTACTGAAACGAAAGGTGATAAAGAAATCTGTAGTAGTGTTCCATCCAAAATGAGAAGAATGACTTGCATTTTTGTAAGTACATAGGGCTCATTGAAGGTAAAGCCACATACTATCATCCTCAATAAACCGGCGGATGAGAGTGAAGAATACAAGGAAGATAAGACCGAATGTTGCCATGTTACTGTTGAAGACGCCTCGGACATTGAAACATCTGAAGAAGATGTCGAAGAAGCTCCATCGTCATTAGAAGATGGCAACCAGCCAACAGTCGACGAACTTAAGGAAGTAAATCTTGGCATGATAGAAGATCCACGTCCAACTTTCATAAGTGTGTCACTTACTTGTGATGAAAAAGGTGAATATATAAACCTACTCACCACATACAGAGATATTTTTGCTTGGTCATACAAAGAAATGTTAGGACTTGATCCGAAAGTGGCAGTCCATCACCTTGCAATTAAACAGGGATATCGGCCAGTGAAACAAGCCCAACGACAATTTCAACCATAACTTATACCTCAAATCGAAGTTAAGGTCAATAAATTGATAGAGGCAGGTTTCATCCGCGAAGTGAAATATCCAACATGGAGAGTAAACATTGTTCCTGTGAGAAAGAAGAACGGCCAGCTTCGTGTGTGCGTTGATTTTCGTGACTTAAACAATGCATGTCCCAAGGATGATTTTCCATTACCAATCACCAAAATCATGGTTGATGCTACTACAGGACATGAATTCTTATCTTTCATGGATGGATCATCAGGATACAATCAAATTTGGATGGCACTCGAAGATGAAGAAATGACAGCATTTCGAACTCCGAAAGGGATATATTGTTATAAGGTAATGCCCTTCGGACTAAAAAATGTCAGCACCACTTATCAGCATGCCATTGAAAAGGTATTTGATGACATGCTACATAAACATGTCGAATGTTACGTTGACAATCTCGTGGTTAAGTCCAAAAAGTGACAAGATCACCTTGGTATCTAAAAGTAGTCTTTGATCGCTTGAGAAAGTATCAATTAAAGATAAATCCTCTCAAGTGTGCATTCCGAGTTACCTCGGGAAAGTTCCTTGGTTTCATTGTAAGACATCGGGGAATCAAAATTGATCAGTCAAAGATTGACGCTATTCAAAAAATGCCAAGACCTAGGAACTTACATGAGCTGAGAAGTCTTCAGGGTCGTTTGGCCTATATCAGGAGATTCATCTCCAACCTAGCTGGCCGATGCCAACCTTTTCAGAGATTGACGAGGAACGATACAAGTTTCGAGTAGGATCAAGCATGTGAAAATGCTTTTGAAAGCATAAAAAAATACTTGCTTAATCAACCTGTCTTAGGTGCACCCATAGCAGGAAAGTCGTTGATATTATATATCATTGCGCAAGAAAGATCGCTCGGAGCATTGTTGGCGCAAGAATGAGAAAAAGGGAAAGAACGAGCCCTTTATTACTTGAGTAGAACCTTGATCGGAGCTGAATTAAACTACTCTCCAATCGAGAAGATGTGTCTTTCTCTCTTCTTTGCCGTCGATAAATTAAGGCATTATATAAAAGCCTTTACGGTGCATCTAGTTGCTAAGGCAGATACAATAAAATACGTTCTGTCTAGGTCGATCATTTTGGGACGTTTGACAAAATGGGCAATTTTGCTCCAGCAGTACGATATTGTTTAGGTACCGCAAAAGGCAATGAAAGAGCAAGCATTGGCGGACTTTCTAGCGAATCATCCAGTCCCATCAGATTGGAAATTGTGTGAAGACTTGCCTAATGAAGAAGTATTCTATGTCGAAATAAAGGAACATTGGACTATGTACTTTGATGGTGCAACACGAAGGAATGGAGCGGGGGCAGGTGTTGTCTTTGTTTCACTTGAGAAACATATGTTACCCCATAGCTTCACACTTGGTGAATTGTGTTCAAACAACGCTACTAAATATCAAGCGCTCATCATAGGACTTCAAATTGCCATAGAAATAGGAATAACATACATTGCGATCTACGGCGATTCGAAGTTGATAATCAACCAACTTCTGCTGGAGTATGATGTGAAGCACGAAAACCTTAAACCTTACTTCGTTTATGCGAGGCGACTGCTGGAGAGGTTCGATGGAGTAACACTAGAGCATGTTCCTCGTTCGGAGAACAAAAAGGCAGATGCCTTAGCTGAAGGGATGTGAATCCCAGAGCGGAAGCAGACCGTCGTTCGTGACTTTTGGGAAACAAAATCAAAAGTGTTGATAATGAAATACAAGGGAAAACTTTACCTTTGAAGAACGTTTCTTCAACGATTTCCCAACGAACACCACCGAACGATCTTCCTTGCTATCCTCTTGGGTCTCGAGATCGTGCTTGTGGGAGCAATACTTTGGAATGAAGAGAGAAATTCAGTGAGATTCTTTGAGAGAGTGACGTTTGAGAGAGTAAATTGCTTGGGTCTCCTCCTCTGTGTTGTGCAGCACCTTCTGCAAAAATAACAAAGGCGAAATATGACGTGGGGTAACTCCCCACGTCATATGCAACTTCCCACTCCCCTGCATTTTTGCAGGGGAGTGATTTATTATTAATAATAATATAAAATAATATTATTAATTAATAATAATTAATATATATTTAATTAATTAATTATTAATCTAATTAATAATCAATTAAATATATATATATTAATTAAATAATTAATTAACACTTAATTATTTATTATCAAAATAGAATCATATTCTAAAGCATTTCTCTCGTATAACCTATAGTTCTAACGTACATCTTATGCACAATATTTTTAACCTATAGTTTTAATATGAATCTTATATTAATTTTATTTTAATCTCATTCAAATAATTTCTTTCATAATATATAGTTTTAATTTAGAATTAACTATATATTATTATGTATCAATATACATATATTCCCTTGAGCAATTTGAAAAGTTCAAATTTTTCCAAAAATTTAATCCTCGTTTTACTCGTTATGAGCTAGCAAGTGGACCTAATCGACCTACAGATCCGAAGCTCCAACGATACGAGATTAATCGGTCAAACTCATTGACCGAGTTAATCAACATTCATTAACTACGGGTCACTCCACTAAAGACCCGCAGTTGCACTCTTCTCACTGTAGAATGTTTTCGTGTCCATGGATATACGACCATTAATGACAAGTCAATCCTTCACGAGTGCTCGTAACTCAAGTTGGGTCAAATTACCGTTTTACCCCTGAGTTACATCTTACTCCTTAAATACCACTGCTCCTTTNGCAGTTGCACTCTTCTCACTGTAGAATGTTTTCGTGTCCATGGATATACGACCATTAATGACAAGTCAATCCTTCACGAGTGCTCGTAACTCAAGTTGGGTCAAATTACCGTTTTACCCCTGAGTTACATCTTACTCCTTAAATACCACTGCTCCTTTAATGAACAACCCGGTTATGATCCGACCAATAACTGGAAGTCCCTCTCGGGCCAATGAGAGGGTGGGGCCCCTAGTTCAAGTCCCGGAGTCAGCATTTAAGAGAACACTCATCTACTCCCCTAAAGTCGGGGAGGAGTGAATTCCATCTTGTGAAGTTATGTTCCCAGCTCCCCACTCGGTCTCGTCCCCAAAATGGTAGGAATATTGAGTCGGTAACTCGGGCCAATCTCACCCATACAGATCAAAGGACGAGCCCTCACGAGCAGAAGTCCATAACTCACTCAGGATTGAGAATGAGTTGTTTGGTCATCCTATGAAATAACAATCTGTTAGTCAACGGCGTTGCATCTAAAGATTGTCTATTTCACAGTCCGGTCTTATACAAACTCATTGTATAGGATACCCCCACTCGCATGTCTCCACACGAACGACCTGGATCGAGTCGTCTGTAACATTTACAAAGTGGACCGTATCCATAGTGTTGCCAGGATAAGGTACCCAGCCTTATCCATATACTATAGACCCTTTAGGTTATTCACGGGACATTATCCCCTCGTACATCAGGGGTATATCAAATATATACCTCGTATATCAGGTATATACCCAGTATATATACTGTCCCGATTACATGAAATAACCTTGGATGTTTAGTTTATTGGATTTTGGACAATGCAATGCTATGAATTCAACAATAAATCTATTGAATAAAACTTTATTGAATATACATTTATTTTTACATAAATACAAACTACGAGTTTAGGGTAACACACCCAACATTAGCAAATTTGGCTACTGCTCTTACAATTTAAGAAGATGAGACGTTGCACATTTCACTTTGCCAAAAATGGATCACCCCACCAATCGAAAGTGAGCGTCAAGAAGCAAATGCTATATCAGTTTGCATCATTGAAGAAGAAGATTGGCGACAATCTATTATAGATTATCTTCAACATGGAAAGCTTCCAGTAGATCTCCGACATAAGACTGAAATACGTAGAAGAGCTGCTCGATTTATCTACTACAAAGATACTCTTTACCGACGCTCCTTTGAAGGTCTTTTTCTTCAATGTTTGGGAAAGGAAGAATATGCTAAGGCGTTAGAAGAAGCACACTCAGGAGTTTGTGGTGCTCACCAATCTGGGCCAAAGCTCCATTTCCGATTAAATAAAATGGGTTATTATTGGCCCACAATGGTTCAAGATTCTATGGAATATGCAAATAAGTGTGAAGCTTGTCAGATTCACGCTATTTCATACATCAGCCACCAGAACCTCTACACCCCACTGTAGCCTCGTGGCCATTTGAATCTTGGGGACTTGACCTTGTCGGTCCTATAACGCTCAAATCTTCAGCTGGACATTCTTACATACTCAGGGACTGATTATTTTTCAAGGTGGGCTGAAGCGATTGCGCTAAAAGAGGCAAAGAAATAGAACATTGCAAATTTCGTCCGAACTCATATAATTTTTTGGTACGGTGTACCTCAACGAATTGTCGGTGACAATGGCAAACAATTCTCCAATAGTCTGATGGACAAACTATGCGAAAAGTTTAGCTTCAAGCAATATAAATCGTCCAAGTATAATGTTGCAGCGAATGGGTTGGCAGAAGCATTCAACAAGACGTTATGCAACTTATTGAAGATACTGGTCTCCAAAACAAAAAGAGACTGGCAAGAGAAGATCAGTGAGGTGTTATGGGCCCATCGAACTACTCATCGTGCTCCTACAGGAGCTACGCCATACTCTTTAGTTTATGGTGTAGAAGCTATCCTTCCATTGGAGAGAGAAATTCCATCACTACAAAAGGTCGTGCTAGAAGGTTTGACCATTGAAGACAATGCAAAATTACGCCTTCAAGAGTTAGAAGCACTTCACGAAAAGAGACTTGATGCGCAACAAATATTGGAATGCTATCAGACTCGAATGACCAAAGCTTCAATAAAAATGTTCGGCCTCGGTCATTTCAGGTTGGTGATATGGTGCTTGTTGTTCGAAGACCTATCATCACGACGCGTCACACATGGAATAAGTCCACACCTAAATGGGACGGACCCTACATCATCAAATAAGTCTACACAAATGGAGCGTATAAGATCATTGATAAAGATAGATTGAGAATTGGTCCGATTAACGGCAAATTTCTTAAAAGAGTTTATGTGTGAAATGTAAACACTCCTTATCGTAAGAGTCTAAACTACATGATACTCATGGCCCGCATGAGTTAAAAAGGTGAACGGCCTAAAAAAAATCTTTTATTTGAACTACGTTATGACTTGATCCCTTTCATTGATGGGTACGTATGCAGCTTAGAGGAAATTTTAAGTTCGGTCTATAATAAAAAAAATCTCAAATCATGAATCAAGGCAATTTTATTTATTATTTTATTTATCAGTTCAATCTATAATTTTATTTTTTTATGATTAAAAAGAAGAAATATTATTATCATGAAATCATAGAGTCCATACATGAAATGATAAATTAATATATATATATATGTATAAATCCTCTAAAATGGCGGCATCCACTTGAAGTCCTTTAACTCTTGTTGCGTGTCCTCCAATATTCCACAGTAGGCCACAAGCGATCTGACATCCGCATCATCCACAAATGGAGCACCTTCAATATCATTCATCTTCTCTCGCACTTTAGAGGCTTCAAGTTTTTGTTGGTCTATGTATCCATCTTGCTTGAGAATCAGCTTAGAAACTTCACCTTGTTGAGCTTGGGCAACTTTAAGTTTGGCTTTCAGCTCTTCTTCCTCTTGCAATAGTTGTGCATGTTGTTGTTGAAATTTGTTCTTCTCTGTAAGCGCATGTTCCTCATTGTATGATATCTTCTATTAGCTAAATTTGCACACTTCTAATTGACGATCTTTGCTCGTTAAAGTCAGCTGAGAAGAAATCAACGATTGTAGGTTGTTAGAAGTTTCAACCTTTCTCAAATAGTCAGTATAAATTCTTCAAGATAAGCAAGGTTAGCTACTCCAGTTTCCGAAATCGCATGGATAATTTTTCGAGCCTCTAGTTCAATTTCACAATTGTATCAAGTGGAATACATGTAATCTTCTTATGTAAAGTTTCCCACATAATTAAGGCAATTTGTCGTCAACTGTCAGAAATTACATTAGCTGCACAAAGGTCAGAGACCTCTGACATGACAACATGTACCGCCTTCTTAGCTGGTGTAGAATCCTCAACATTTTCAGGCAACGGATCAGAGGGAGTTGCAACCCTGTCAGTTGCCACCTCGAAACTTTCGACGCCAGCGACAACTTGATCTTGAACATGGGACTTCTCAAAGATGGGACACTTCTTTACTCGTCAATTCCTTCGAGRAAATCATCCAGAAGTGACTAGAAATAATAATAAAAAAAAGATCATAAAAGAATAATCATTAAAGAAAATATAAAAAAAATAGAATAAAAGAAATTCACTAAGCAAAAGTGTAGAAGGAATAGGAGGACATTCTGAAAGAACTTGCTATGGCATTAAAGAATTTGTCATCGTCACAAACAGATAGTGGTTTAGATTTCTTTGACCTTTTCCAATGACGATCACTATTACTACTGTGACTTTCCTCATCATTCTCAGAATTGAACTTCTCAATCTCTAACAGACGAATTTTTTTCCCCCTATTATCATCACCAACCTTTTTGGGAAATTTGGGTTTAGAAGGAGGAGAGGCGCTACTTATCAATTTGCGTAAGTTCTTTTCGAGATAATCTCCATTTTTCGCTAGCCACCAATCCTTGTATTGAGGAGTAACTTGGCTATCTGGGTTTAGCGAACGGGCAGGGAGGTGTACCTGAGATGATTTTCTAGTTAAAACATAAAGCCTCCAATAACGTAATACATTATCCAAGTTGATTGGAGGAACCTCTTTCCTCAGATCCTTCCGTATATCTTGATAAAACTTGAACTGTCAACCAAATCGATAAGGACTATAAACCTCAATGACCATCGAACTTGAACATCGTGATGATATGAAGTAGGATTTTAGGCTTGAGAAGAGTGACCAATCTCGAAATGAAATTTTGTCATTACCTTTCAAATCTTCATCTCTATTTCTGGACTAAAAGTTGAATGCCATGATATAAATTTACCCCTGTGAATTATGTCACGAGCAGCAGCCTCCTTGAAGTATTTAGATTTACCTTCTCCAGAATAATCAACCATCATCGGACCTCTAACCGGCATGGGAGTTTTGTAATGTGTCTGGAAATAATGAGCAAGTCAACCATGAACATAATGTATGGGAAAGCAAGCACCTGAGTTCCCAGCTGAAGTTGACGCATCGTGGATCTGGCCGAGCCCATGATAAATGTTGGCCAAAACAGGAATGGCATAAATGAAATACCTTCAGCCATGTAATTGGCAATTTTAAAGACTTCTGGACGAAGAAGAGAATTCTTGCTGGGAAAGACGAATATGCATAACCAACAAGATAAGAAAGCGGCTAAATACGTTTTTCCCCTCCATTCATCTATTATGCCCAACTGGTCAAATAACTCAATTTCTTCCATTGACCAACTGCAACTTACTAAAGGAGTCCCATCCCGGTTACAGGTTGAACGAGGTCGAGCAGTTTTTCGTGCCCTTCGAGAAGGCGGCTATACATATTTCCGATCTCCTTTAAACCATAAAGAGATCCACAACTTGACAGAGACTCGTAAACCAACATCATCTTTAGATGCAACATGGTGATAAGCGGCAAAAAGATACTTACAACTCTTTGGGAGATTTCCCTCTTTTTGAGTAGATGACGTTAATAACTCTGAGCAACTTAGAATAACTTCATCATGACACCAACCTTTGATGGGAAGTCCCCCTAATCTCCACATATCCCACCAAGAGAGGGATAACTCTTCAGACGAAGTATGAAGTGTATTAGTGGAAGGACACCAAGCTTTGCAAAACGCTCGTATTATATCATTGTTACGATCATAGGTGTACAAAGAAGCCAGCACAGCATCCAACAAGCAATTAGACTGCAATGTATCATTATTTCGGGAAACCGTGACTTCTAACCATTCCCAATAACAAGGAATATAAAATAATTCTTCATGGAGCTTTAATATAGAGCCCCAACTAGCTGAACCTTCAATGATCTTGCGACCTAGTGTTGATAAGGATTTGAATTTGGTTCCTTGTTATGAAGAGGAGAGTCTAAAAGCCACACCGTTGAGGAAGTATCATGAGTCAACGCTCTTTCTTTGGACCATTTAGATAAATAGCCAAAGTCTTTTTTTGTATTGGCTCCTCTACTGGGAGGATTAGTCCACTGTTCAGCGATTGGTCCTTGTTCTTTAAAATAACCAAATACCTCTTCTTGGGATCAGGGTGTTCCGCAAAGTATAGCATGATGCTGCAAAAGTATATATATATTATTATGGTTGTAGAATATATGTATATATATTTTACAAAAGAAAACATAAAAGTTGTCACTGCAAGGTAAATAAAAGTAACCACTACTGGTATAGGAACACCTTAACCAATCGAAAAGGTGTTAACCTACTCGCAAAGTAGTCACTGTCGGGTAGATAAAGGTGACTGTTGCTGCTATGGGAATACCTTAACCGATCGAAAAGGTGTTAACCTACTCAGAAAATATGTCACTGCAAGATAGATAACAATGACTATTGTTGGTATAGGAACACCTCAACAAACCGAAAAGGTGTTAACCTACTCAGAAAATATGTCACCACAAGATAGATAACAATGACTATTGTTGGTATAGAAACATCTCAACAAATCGAAAAGGTATTAACCTACCCAGTAAATATGTCACTTCGAGATAGATAAC